AAAGTTTCTTTTAAAATATAACTATGGGATGATACAAAGGATACTTAATAACAACCCTGTGATGCAGGTATTTCTATTATGCATTTTACAGATGGGAAAAAATGGGATGAGAGAACAGAGTGACTTTGGCAAGGTCACACAGCTAATTAGCAGTAGGACTAGGATTTGAACCCAGGAAGTTTTACTGTAAAGCCCATACTTAATCATTTTACAAATTAAGATTTTTACGTGTTCAGTTATGTCCTTAAAAGCCCATTAACTGCATTATCACATGGTAGGGACACTGCCCTCCTGACACTTTGCCTTTCTGTGGTGAAACAGTATGTGTGGTATTTGTAGTTTTTCAAGCAGCCCAGAATCATTTTAACTATGAAATACTCCTTAAAGGAATACCACATAATGTGTGAATTTTTAAAAATAATTTTAGAAATTGAGTTCCCTTTATTGGCCTTCAGGTGAGGGGTGTGTGTGTATGCATGTTTAAGATGCTCAAAGAATTGTAACCAAGCACACATTTCTGTTCAAATTGAACTGCTCACATGGAACTGCTCAAATTGAACTGCAGATCCTGTTCTAGGTACCATTAAGGGAGACAGACAAGGGCCTCCCCCTCTCAGGGCTGATTCTAGTGGAAAAGATGGACACTGAAAAGGACGTAATTAGTTTGAGTTGCTGGTAGATGTTAGAAGAAAAAAAGCCAGGGGATAGTAATGTGACTTCGATGCATTGGTCATGGAAAGCACTTCTCTGAGGAGGTGACACTGGAGCTGAGACCTAAAGAGGGTCAGGGGCCTGAGCAGGAATGAGCATTGGGGAGCAGCAAGAAGGCTGGGGATGCTTGGTTGGGATGGGAAGGGGTACATTCCTAGCCTGGTACCCAACGACCTGAGGACCATGGTGAGGTGTTTGGATGCTATTTGATGTGTGGTAGGAAATCAGTGGTGGTGTATTTGTGCTGGAGCTATCTTAACAAAGGAGCACACCCTGGGGGGAAACAAATTTGTTTCCTCACTGTTCTGAAGGCCAGGAGTCCAAGGTTAACGTGTTAGCAGGATTGGTTCCTCCTGAAGACGGGAAGGACCTTTTCCAGGCCCGTCTCTCTGCCTGTGTGGCCATCTCCCTGAGCCACCCCATGTTCTTCTGTGCGTGTCTGTGTCTGGATTTCTCTTCTTGTAAGGAAACCATTCACCCTGGATGGGAGCCCACCTGGGGGCCTCATTTTAACTTAATAACCTCATTAAACACTCTCCAAATACATTCACATTCTGTTGTTTTCTTGAGGCTAATACTTCAACATAATGATTTCCATGGACACAATTTAGCCCGTAGCAGTGGTCATGTATGAGGTGACTAGTTCTTAGATGAAACCTGCTGATGTTCTAAAAAACTAGAAACTAGTATTTTAAAAGTGTTCTTAACTTATTGGGTGATCAGACAGAAAGGAATGGAGAGATTCAACTAGAAACTTGGGTTTCTAATTCATGTATTTGTTCACAGGCACCTCTTGTTTTCTGTGTTGTGGCTCATGTGAAACCAGATTCTGGGGTGTTGGTAGACACCCTGTCTACAGGATAGACATAGTCTTCCTGGAGAATGAGTTCTAAGTAAGCTGTTACCTACACTTGATAGGAAAATAAATACATAGAACATAAAGCTGGTCTGCACTTGACCAGGCGAGGGGTCCTCAGTAAGCTAGTACGTGCCTGGCCTCAGCCCATTTTTACTCTGCCAGGAGAAGGGCTGTGACGAAACAGCAGGAGGGAATGGCTGTGAACTAGTTTTCTCTTCAAACAGTGTTGAAATGCCCTGCTCACTCACCTGCTGTATTGGCTGTCCTGCCCATAGGCATGGAAGACAGCACACCATCATGCCTTCGAAAGTCAACTACCAGGCGAACATCTGGGCCCTGAAGGAGGAAGGCTGTACCCATGTCATAGTGACCACAGCTTGCGGCTCCTTGAGGGAGGAGATTCAGCCAGGTGATATCGTCATTATCGATCAGTTCATTGACAGGTAAGCAGAGCTGAAAACATGTTAAGCTCTTATAATATTCCCAGCTCCAGTGGACAGTGTGTGGGGACCTGGGGAGGACAGGAGGGCAGGCCCATGGAATTGCTTTAAGCTTTTTATTGTGGGAGGTTCAAGCATATACATATTTTGACGAAGAAGAATCGTGAACTCTCAGTTACTAATTCCCAGCTTCTGCATGTGTCAGTTCACTACAGTGTGTGTCTTTAAAAAACAAGGACTCTGTAAAAAACAAATTACTTAATATTTCCTTAGTATTTGGTAATCGAGGCAGTGCCTCCTTTTCGTTATTGTCTCAAACTGTTTTTTACAGTTTGATGGTTCAGGTAAGGGTCCTGAGTTAGTCTTCTCATTACACACATGAGCTTAATAATGCCTCTGTCCACCTCCATGTTTCCTTTTCCTTTTTGTCCTGTAGTGTCTGTACATTCTGGTTTTATGACTTCATCCCTGAGTGTCACTTAGTGTCTTCCCCTGTCCCTTGTGTTTTCTGTAAACCAGTGGTTCCTCCTGGAGGCCTGTTCAGAACCAGGTCCAAATTCTTGATCTTTCTTTCTTTCTACACCATATTGAGAGGCATGTAATGTCCAGTTTTCTTTTCATGATGTTAAAATGGAGCAATTGGTTCAGGAGCAAGGGGTTTTTTGTTTCTAATCGCACATAAGTAATATATAAAAATTTTGAAAAAGTCAATAGTAGTAGACTGCCAAGATCCTGGGCTTTTTCTGCATTCAGAAGTAGTTGAAGAAATCACAGGGGAAAGTAGATGATCTCTGAGAGATTCCACCCCCTGCCCAAATTCCTGATGGAAGTAGCCACTTCCAGGGTGCTCTGTATAGACAGGTGACTGCCTTCTGAGCCTTGAGTCAGGGTGGTGGGGAGATGTACCACAGAGTGTGAACCTTTGGTGGCTCCTGCTGAAGTCACCCAGACCGTCTACTCAGTACACCCTGCTTGTCCCATCTGCTGTCTCTGAGTTTACTACACCACACGCCTCTCCCACCTCTTTTGCTAAGGGAGGAAGGTTTATTCAACCCGGTTCTGTGCAGCCTCTGCCTTTCAGGGGTTTGTTATGATTTAGAGTCCTTCAGAACCTTTCTTGGTTGTTTCCTGGAATGAAGCTATGAGGCTGAACTGTGTAAAACTGACTATTCTGTAGGTCAGAAATTGTTGACTATCAGCAATTTCATGTGCTTCAAGCTAATAGAAAATAGAAGTAGACTAAAAACATCACTTGCCCTTCACCTGTCATTTTTCCTATCAGTTTTCACACCTGACATTATATATTTATTACCCATCTCTCCCATGAGAATAAAAGCCATGTGAGGGCAAAACTACCTGTCCTATTTGCTTCTTTATGCCTAACAACCACAGCATTGCCTGGCCTGTGGCTGGTCAGTCAGTATTTTTTGAATGATTGAATGAACATGATCATTCAAAAGGAGAGGGGGGCTGGAATTCTTCGTCAGAATCTCTGTGGCCATCAGAATGTGTTTTGAGTTAACGACTTACTAGGGTTGTTTAATAGAGCAGAGTACAGAACTGCATATTCAGAATGATCCAGATTATAAAGTATGATAGATAATATTAGAAGAAAAGTCTAATTCAGATAGTAAGCCTGGCTTTCATGTATCACTTAAATGATATAACTGCACTGTTGTGTTTCCCAGATCATTTTTTCACATGTAGTAAATGAAGGTGTTTCACATACTAGTTCTTTCAAGGAAGCAGTTGAGGCAGAAAGATAGAGAATAGAAAGTGGACAGGTTCCATATCTGATTCCAGTCTACTCGGCACTTCTTAGCTGCGTTATCTGAATATCTTCTGGTGACTTTTCTTTTATGTGCCATGTAGACAACCTGCTTCTTAGTTTTACCTTGGGATTTCAGTCTCAGGCAAGGCCCTTTTATGGGATCTAGTGTATGTTACCTGCCCAATACACAGGTGCCCTTATTGGCTGGAGGGGTCCATAGTTAACATTACTTGGTTACAAGACAGGAAAAGCTCTGTTAAAAGAGGATTCCTACAGGAATATTTAGAATGAAATCTCACATTGGATGTTGATGACGTATTACAACGATAATATGTTGGATACATTAGGTTAGGTAAGATACGAAAGCATCCATTCATGATAAAACTCTCAACAAAATGGGTATAGAGGGCAAGTACCTCAGCATAATAAGGCCATATATGACAAACCCACAGCCAACGTCATACTTACAGTGAGAAGCTGAAAGCTTTTCCTCTTAGGTCGAGAACAAGACAAGGATGCCTACTCTCTGCACTTTTATTCAACTTAGTACTGGAGATCTTAGCCACGGCAATCAGACAATGCAAAGAAATAAAAGGCACCCAGATAGGTAAGAAAGAAGTTCAAACTGTCACTGTTTGCAGATGACATGATATTATACATAAAAAACCCTAAAGAATCCACTCCAAAACTACTAGAACCAATATCATTGAATAATGAATTCAACAAAGTTGCAGGATACAAAATTAATACACAGAAATCTGTAGCTTTCCTATACACTAACAATGAATTAGCAAAAAGAGAAATAAGGGAAACAATTCCATTCACAATTGCATCAAAAAGAATAAAATACCTAGGAATAAACCTAACCAAGGATGAAAAACCTATACTCTGAAAACTACAAGACACTCTTAAGAGAAATTAAAGAGGACACTAACAAATGGAAATTCATCTCATGTTCTTGGGTAGAAAGAATTAATATAGTCAAAATGGCTATCTTGCCTAAAGCAATCTACAGATTCAATGCAATCTCTATCAAAGTACCAACAGCATTCTTCAGTGAACTGGAGCAAATTCATATTGGAACCACAAAAGACCCGGAATAGCCAAAGCAAACCTGAGAAGGAAGAATAAAGCAGGGGGGATCTCACTTCCCAACTTCAAGCTCTACTACAAAGCCACAGTAATCAAGATAATTGGGTACTGGCACAAGAACAGAGCCATAGACCAGTGGAACAGAATAGAGTCCAGATATTAACTCAAGCATATATAGTCAATATATGATAAAGGAGTCATGGATATACAATGGGGAAATGACAGCCTCTTCAACAGCTGGTGTTGGCAAAACTGGACAGTTACATGTAAGAGAATGAAACTGGATTACTGTCTAACTCCATACACAAAAGTAAACTCAAAATGGATCAAAGACCTGAATGTAAGTCATGAAACCATAAAACTCTTAGAAGAAAACATAGGCAAAACTATCTTGAATATAAACATGGACAATTTCTTCATGAACATATCTCCACAGGCAAGGGAAACAAAAGCAAAAATGAACAAGTGGGACTATACCAAACTAAAAAGCTTCTGTAGAGCAGAGGACACCATCAGTAGAATAAAAAGGCATCCTACAGTATGGGAAAATATATTCATAAATGACATATCCAATAAGGGGTTGACATCCAAAATATACAAAGAGTTCACGCACCTCAACAAACAAAAAGCAAATAAGCCAATTAAAAAATGGGCAGAGGAGTGGAACAGACATTTCTCCAAAGAAGAAATTCAGATGGCCAACAGGCACATGAAAAGATGCTCCACATTGCTAATCATCAGAGAAATGCAAATTAACACCACAATGAGATATCACCTCACACCAGTTAGGATGGCCACCATCCAGAAGACAGACAACAACAAATGTTGGTGAGGACGTGGAGAAAGGGGAACCCTCCTACACTGCTCGTGGGAATGTAAATTAGTTCAACCATTGTGGAAAGCAGTATGGAGGTTCCTCAAAAAACTCAAAATAGAAATACCATTTGACCCAGGAATTCCACTCCTAGGAATTTACCCTAAGAATGCAGCAGCCCAGTTTGAAAAAGACATATGCACCCCTATGTTTATCGCAGCACTATTTACAATAGCCAAGAAATGGAAGCAACCTAAGTGTCCATCAGTAGATGAATGGATAAAGAAGATGTGGTACATATACACAATGGAATATTATTCAGCCATAAGAAGAAAACAAATCCTACCATTTGCAACAACATGGATGGAGCTAGAGGGTATTATGCTCAGTGAAATAAGCCAGGTGGAGAAAGACAAGTGTCAAATGATTTCACTCATCTGTGGAGTATAAGAACAAAGAAAAAAAACTGAAGGAACAAAACAGCAGCAGACTCACAGAACCCAAGAATGGTAACTAACAGTTACCAAAGAGAAAGGGACTGGGGAGGATGGGTGGGAAGAGAGGGAGAAGGGGGAAAAGGAGCATTATGATTAGCACACATAATATAGGGGGGTGCACAGGAAGGCAGTATAGCACAGAGAAGACAGGTAGTGATTCTATAGCATCTTACTATGCTGATGGACAGTGACTGTAATGGGGTATGTGGTGGGGACTTGATAATGGGGGGAATCTAGTAACCACATTGTTGCTCATGTGATTATATATTAATGATACCAAAAGAAAAAAAAAGATATCAAAGCCAGTTTTTCCTTTTTCTCTTTACTTTACTAATGTGGCTGCTAGAAAGTTTAAAATGACATATGTGGCTCGTGTTCCATTGCTGTTGGACAGCGTCTTCCAAAGTTGAGCCACTGGTTGCGCCATGTGGTTTCCAGCTGACCAGGCTTGGGCATGTACATAATTCACTGTGAGTATGTTTGAATGTCTCAGAAGAGAAGAATCAGAACTTACTGACTTACGAGTAAAAGCCAACTTGTGTTGCTGAGAGCAGATTTTTAACAGGGTAAATCTTTGTGTGTTGAGGCGGGCACCTGATACCTCCAGTAGGCCTGGGATGGTCAGCTGGAGGCTGCGCTGCTGAAAGGCTGATGTTCCCACAGTGTCTGATGTTCCTTGGCATGTCTGATGGAATATAGCGACATTCTGCAGAGCCCCTGGTGGATTCTCACCGCGAGGGCAGGAGCGCCGGGTGGGGAAATTCATCTGGGCTCTCTCTGACCTTAGGCAAGTCAGTTTACCTATGTGGCTCTTGGTCCATTCTTCAAA